AGACGATGAAGTATCCCATGTCGAACACGTCAGGAAGGTCCTTGAATGACTACGGGCGAACCACCTCCATGCAAAGCCGGAAAAATGCGCGTTCCATGTCGACACTGTCGAGTACTTGGGGGTGATCATATCACCATTGGGAGTGTCCATGGACCCAGAGAAAGTGAAGGCAGTAATGGACTGGCCAAAACCAAGGACGGTGAAGGAACTCCAGGCGTTCCTCGGATTCGCAAACTTCTATAGGAGGTTCATAGACAACTACTCGGGAATCACCAAGGTGTTCACGAAGCTCCTCCGAAAAGATTCAGTGTGGAACTGGACACCACAGTGTAGTAGTGCCTTCGAACTTCTGAAGTCAGCATTCTCCGAAGCCCCGGTTCTGGGACATTACAATCCGGATCTACCGGTAGTCCTCGAATGCGATGCCTCCGACTTGGCTATAGCAGGGATCCTATCACAGCTGGATCCTGAAACGGGGGAGATACATCCTATCGCCTTCCATGCACGATCAATGATCTCTGCGGAACTAAACTACGACATATACGATAAGAAGCTCCTAGCTATCGTGGACTGCTTCAAACAATGGAGGGCGTACTGCGAAGGATCCCGACACCAGATTCAAGTGTACTCAGACCATAACAATCTCCAGTACTTCACCACTACGAAGCAGTTAACAGCACGACAAGCCCGGTGGGCAGAGCTCCTTTCAGGATACGATTTTGTCATCAACTATCGCCCAGGGAGGTTGGGAGCCAAACCGGACGCGCTCACCCGTAGATCAGACGTGTACCCAAAGAAGGGAGCTTCAAGGGACCAGGCCTTAGCAGGGAGGAAAAGGGTACTCATACCTCCAGAACGTCTAAACGCGACCATCCTCATGAACGAAGACCTCTTAGTAAATTGAGTGAGGGAAGCTCCAAAGGATACGAGTATGATTGAAGCATTGAAGCGGATTGCACGGAACGAGGAAGAATCTCTCGTGTGGGAGGATGGCACCCGGGGGAGAAACGCACCAGGAAGCTCGTAAGCCAACTGTTCTTCTGGAAAGGGTTGTCCAAGGACGTGAACTACTATGTGCGGAGCTGCCATTCATGTCTGAGGGCGAAAGCCAGTCGATCCAAACCATACGGGAACCTCCGCCCACTGCCAATCGGTCAACGACCTTGGTCGTCAATCTCCCTTGATCATATCACCCAGCTCCCAGTCACAGCAGGTCCGGAAAAGTACGATGCTATCCTGGTAGTGGTGTGCCGACTGACCAAACAGGCCATATACGTCCCTTGTCATACTACGGATAAGGCGGAAGACTTCGCTAATCTCTTAATAACACATGTCTTCTCGAAGCACGGGATGCCCTCCGATATAGTTTCAGATCGAGGTTCCCTATTCGTGTCCCAATTTTGGAGGGAGCTCTGTAGAGCACTAGGGATCGAATCCCGCCTATCTACTGCGTATCATCCCCAGACAGACGGACAAACGGAACGAGTAAACCAATCAGTGGAGGCTTACCTTCGGATCTATTGCTCTTACGACCAGGACGACTGGGACCTTCTCCTACCAATGGCGGAATTCGTATACAACAACACCCCAAATACAACGACGGGCGTGTCACCGTTCTTTGCCAATAAAGGGTACCACCCAAAGCTGTCCATTACATTGGAGCAGGTACAAGGAGCGGAGGTCAACGAATACGCATCCAACCTCAAGGAGTTACATGCTTACCTGCAGGAGCGAATTCGAGTAGCCAACGAGGTCTATGCGCAGTACGCGAATCAAAAACGCCAGGAGGCCCCAGACTGGAAGGAGGGTGATCACGTCTGGTTGAATATGGAAAACGTCAGGACGAGAAGACCCATGAAGAAGTTAGACCACAAGTGGAAGGGTCCCTACTCAATCTTGTCAAAAGTAGGGAGCCATGCCTACCGATTGGACCTCCCTGGGGACCTCCACAAAATTCACAACGTGTTTCATGTAGGCAGGCTGAAACCTCACTTCCACGACAAATTCAAACGGCAGACCTCCCCGCCTCCCCCAATCTTCATAAAAGGGGAAACGGAGCATTTTGTCGAGGATATCCTTGACTCCAAACCCAAGAAGGGACGACCGGAGGAAGTGGAATATCTCGTAAAATGGGAAGGTTATAGTGAAGAATTCAACTCTTGGGTAGGATGGGAAGGTATGGCGGGATCCCTGGAGCTCCTGCGGAGCTGGCACGAGAAACATCCAAGGAAGCAACAGCCATCGCAGAGACATTGGGCTCGCCTCGTAAAAGATGCACAGGAAGATGAGGAGGACAAAAGGGAGGATAGGAGATAGGGCCGGAGCTGACAACGACACAAAGGAACGATGGGAACGATATCCGCATGACATCCACGATGAACTAACGACTATGTGCATCGGAGGGTTCAAGCAACCTGAAGGCACCATGATTTCAGTCCTATCGATTTTCACATTCATATAAATTATAAAAGGGATTTTTCGCATAAAACAAAGGTACATAAAGAGAGGACAGGACGACACGAAGACTATGCAAGAAAGGAACACTACAACGACTCGTCCTTAACGACATCCTGACCGGCCGCCAAATCAATAACTTCCCTCGCCATAGAAAAGTGACCAGCACTAACCTCCTCCGTCTCATACAGGTAAGGTCGATGACTAGATTGGCAACGGACCCGAACAAAGGGGGCAGAGTGGGGGAAGGGGAGGTTAATGACTCCTGCTCGGGCAGGAATAGAGGGACCAGGGGGTGGGGACCGACAGAGGAGATAGATTCTGTTAAAGTCATGACTGAAAACAAAGTGACCAGACTGGGGATTGAACCCAGGACCTTCTGGTTATATTCCAGATGCTCTAACCAACTGAGCTATCCGACCTTGGTTCAACTAATGAGGACTTTACATATGGTAACAGTGGCCATCCAATCAACACTTCTTAAGGACTTACTATCTACTTTTGCCTTGGTTGATGGAATTTTGCATAATACCATTTACACCTCATTAGGGTGTCAGGATTGAATCCTAACACACCCTCCCAATCTGACACACTTATGTAATCAATCATTCCCGAGGCTAGCGCTCCGGGGCCCATAACCTGTTAAAGTCATGACTGAAAACAAAGTGACCAGACTGGGGATTGAACCCAGGACCTTCTGGTTATATTCCAGATGCTCTAACCAACTGAGCTATCCGACCTTGGTTCAACTAATGAGGACTTTACATATGGTAACAGTGGCCATCAAATCAACACTTCTTAAGGACTTACTATCTACTTTTGCCTTGGTTGATGGAATTTTGCATAATACCATTTACACCTCATTAGGGTGTCAGGATTGAATCCTAACAGATTCCAGGGCAGCCGGAGCTTCAGGAGACTGCGGAACAAATACTTCGGGCAACGACTCAGTAGCAGGCTCCACCGACGACATGGGACCTTGGGAATCTGTACCAGGCAAAGGAGTATCGGTGATGTGATGAATGTATTGCAACATCATCTGCTCCCAGTCAGCAGTCAGCTGGTCGATACTGGGGAGGGCAGGAACGATGTCTTCCCACCTCCCAACGCCTTCGCTATGAGGAAGAGCGGTAGACAGCGCTAACATCCGCCGATGAAGAGGAGGCTCCACAGAATCATCAGGAGGAGGAACAAAACCGGCATGGTGAGCAGCCGTCAAGAAGGGACTATCACTGTCGAATCGAGAGTGTTCCAAAATCATACGATAAAGACCCTCATCCTCGTCGACAGCGTTGTTGAAAAACCACTGGATACTGCTTATGGATCGCATATACATGTCTCCATGGACGCCTCGAGCTGCCTGTACATAATCCAATGCCAATCGGAAGTTGTGAACGATAACGTCGAGATCATCGGAATCGAGACCACGACGAAGGAAAGCAACCACGGCCTCAATAATCGCCCCAAAGTAACGATGGTGATGATGAAGGACGGTGGCAGGATCACAACGATAAAGGCGATGAGCGAAGGTAGCTACATGGCGGAGGTCCTCACGAGCCTGGTTAAGGTCCCCTTCAAGTTGCGAAAGAGGAGGCAAAACGACCTCGTAGTAACCCTCGTCAGGGTACTCCTTGAGCATTTGCTCGACGAAGACGGCACGACCGCGGACCCGATGGACCTCCTCCTGCAACTCCTCCACAAGACGACGTTGACGTGTTGCCAAAGCATTCGATTCATCCACAAGACCTTGTTGGTGCAGTAGGGCGGTCGTCAACCGTGAATTCTTGCGAGTAGAGGTGATTAATTTCTCCACAGCGACTCTCCGCTCCCTGGTGGCATTTTGAAGGTCTTCCTGCATCTTCCGGAAACGTTCCGAGAGGCTCTGAAAGGAAGGACTAAACAGGGGAGGAAAACGGGGGAAAACCAAAGTACTCACTTGATCCAGAGCCCCTGATAGGGCCTCATCCAAGGCAGGGAACTGATCCAAAACTCGGCGGTCCTCCATTTCACGCTCTACTACTTCACGACCAGAGGACCGGAGCTGCTCCACCTCCCGTTGTCGAGATTCGAGAGCAAGCGAGGTATTCCGAAGGGCGGAGGTAAGGGAGGAATTCTCCCGCTGCGAGGTAGCGAGCTGAGACTCCAACAAACGAATCCGAGCAACGAGGCGCTGATTTTCAGCACGATAAGGGTGAGCATTGAAAGTGCGAGGTACCAAGGGGGGACGGGGAGAGGGAGGCATAGTGAAGGAAAGGAGGACCTGCCCGGCACCCTTTTATAGAAGGGGAAGAAACGACTGGTGAACCAAACCAAAGTGTGCTCCCGCAACAGTTTCCAACCGAACCGGATCGCTGGGACCCTGCACCGACAAACCACCCTTGTCAGGTACCTCCATTTGGGAAAGGGAGGCACGAGGGGGTACAATTCTACTTAGTTGCGCGACTCTTCCTCATACCCGACAGTTCCCCAAGATCTCAGACCTAAACGGAAGTAACGAAATCAACAATGTTACATTGGGTGTACAAACATACAACAATCGAGGGGGTCTACACTACTTCAGACTCGGTATTCTCCTGCTTAACTGTCACTGCCCCACCGGTCCTCGCAAGGAACTCCTCCTGCGACTCGTACAAATCCTCGGCGTCATCCATGGTTAAGTCGACAATCTCGCGGGGGACGTGAGGAACACGAGAGGAAGAAGGAATGGGAGAAGGAGAACAAGGGGAGGTGGGAGACAGGGATTCCGGTAGGAACAAGGGAGCGTCCTGCGACACGGAGTCACTCGCGTCTAGCACGGGAGGAGCGTCAGGTGCAACCAAGGGGGAAGCTGTCGGCAAGGGATCATTGGAACCAGGAACGTTCACCGGGGAAGGAGCGCGATCTGGGGAGACAGGGTAACCTAAAACCTCACGCATATAGGTACGAATCATATCCTCCCACATCAACATTACGGAGTCCATCATAGGAACAGCGGGGATGTGATCAGAAATGGGACTTTGTGGAAGGGGGATGGGATGATCAAAAGAAAAGAGCTGGCGATGTAAGGGTGGTTCCAGGGAATCAGGACGAGCTTCGACGTAACCCGCGTGTTGGGCAGCAGTTAGGAACGCTGCATCAGTGGAGAAACGAGAGTGGGTAAACATGTCCTGGTACAACCCATCGACACGATCAGCAGCATTGGAGTAGTAATACAACAAACTACTGGTCGAACGGAGGTGTAGCTCGCCGTGGGTAAGCCGGCCTTGAGACAGATACTCCAGAGCCAATTCGACAACAGTTCTCATCCGTTCCGGAGGATGGAGGAGACTGCGCGACAGGAGTGCGATGATCGCCTCGATGAGACCCTCCACATACGTGTTGTGATGGTGAAGGAGGTTAGCGGGGTCTGCAGAATACAACCGATGTGCAAAAGTGGCCAGACGACGCACCATCGCTTCGGAAGCCGTCAACTGATTCTGCAAGGAGGAGAGCGAGGGTAGATCCACCTCATACAGCCCCTCATCCTCGGGATATTTACGAATGAGCTCCTCAGCGACATGAGCCCGTGCCCGATAGCGATGGACGGTCTCTTTGAGGTCCTCCAGACGGTCCCGCAGACGTATAGCACGCGCGTTAGCAGCATCCAGCTCCTCGTGGGCCTCAAAAGAACGCTTCTGTTCCTTGTCGACCTGTTCTCGAAGCTCCGAAAGCTCCTGCTTCTGCCTTATGGCCACTTCCCTATAGGAGTCTACTTGCGCAACCGCAAGATGAAACCGTGTAAGCGCGTCCTGGGGTCAAGAATTACCAGTCAGTAGAAAATAAGAGAGAAGAAGGGGAACAACTTCTACCTCCAAGGGAGCTTCCGGCAGTTCAGCTTCAATGGCCCTAAACTGAGCCAGAACACGGGAGTACTCCAGACGATCCGCTGCGACATCCTGCAGGGCACGACGACTCGCCTCTAGGTCCTTGTTACGATCGTCCAAAGAAGTTGTAGTGTCCCGAAGGAGGGAGGTGAGCGTCGAGGTCTCAGCCCGGGAAGTCTCCAGAAGTTTGCGGAGGTCGGCTGCCTCGGCTCGTAAAGTTTCATTTTCAGCCCTTAAAGCAGCAGTGGCTCGAGCTCGAGGAAATGGGTGGAGAACATCGGGGGAACGCTGGGGTACAGGCATAAGACATAAGTTACGAGAGTAGAAAGGAAGAGAACTTACTTGAGAAGGAGGGGGAGTTTGTATGGTCACCACTGGCCGACGTTCCGACAGCACCGGGGGAATAAACTGGTTAGACGAACCAGGCGAATTGGCTCTTTGACGAACAGGAAGACCGGAAGAGCGATCCTGAGATAATGAAGGAGGAACTCCTGTACTCCCTGTTTTCCCCAAAGGAGGAGAAGAGGGCACGTCCTCCTCGGCACGACCACCAGACAAAGGGGCCGAACCAGAGGTATCGACAAGGGGGGGGCGAAGAACCAGCACCACCCTACGGTAGTCTGGGACCTCAGCATCCCGACTCTCCCCAGCAGAACGCTTACGTTTGCGGTCGTGAACCTTGGGAGATACCTCAGAACCCGGAGCTGCTCCAACGGCACGCTTGCGAGAGGAATGACCTCCCTCCTCCTGCCGGACAGACCTTTTTCTCTTTTTCGCCAAAGCGCGTGGAGTCGCCACAGCAGAAGGAATTGGGGAAGGCTGTTGAAGGAGACTGCACTTGTTGAAGTTGAAACACACTGGAGCGCCCTTCAGCTAACCCAAACAGTATGCCACCCAGCTCAGTGCAGAGAATGTCAATGCCTTAATACAAGCTCAGTAGGTTGTGCTACAGAGTCTTGTAGTTGCTCAGTACTCCAATAAACACAGTAACAATGACCAGAGTCAATATAGTATGAGTATTGATTTGTATCTTTCAACTATAGTAGGAATACAGGTTTGTTTGGTCTTGTATGTACTAGAAACGCATGAGGCGTGATAATGGGTGTCCACAATTGTGCGCACCTATGAAAACTAACTAACTACAGTAACACTAAAGAAATAGCTAAGTTATGAGTTGTAAAACTAAGTAATGATGTCTGTAAGTACTTTGTACACTAAGTAAGTCACTACAGTGATAACTAGGAGTGATGAAGCGCTGTGTAATGTATGTAGAAAGTGTTCTATCACTACAGTATGCTCAACACAATACTTTCATGATCATCCACTCTCAGGCCATTTTGGTCAGAACTGAACTCTAGAGGCAGTACGTCGTCAATACACCTGGCCCAAGGTCAGAGACTTTGTTTGTGACTACATTACTTCTTGCACAACTTGTGACCACATTACTTCTTGCACAACTTGTTGAAGGAGATTGCACTTGTTGAAGTTGAAACACACTGGAGCGCCCTTCAGCTAACCCAAGCAGTATGCCACCCAGCTCAGTACACAGATTGTCTATGCCTTAATACAAGACTAGTAGGTTGGACTACAAGCCTTATAGTTGCTCAGTACTCCAATAAACACTGTAGATATGACAGAAGTCAATATAGAGTGAGGATTGATTTGTATCTTTCAACTGTAGTAGGAATACAGGTTTGTTTGGTCTTGTATGTACTAGAAACGCATGAGGCGTGATAATAGGTGTCCACAATTGTGCGCACCTATGAAAACTAACTAACTACAGTAACACTAAAGAAATAGCTAAGTTATGAGTTGTAAAACTAAGGAATGAAGTCTGTAAGTACTTTATACACTAAGTAAGTCACTACAGTGATAACTAGGAGTGATGAAGCGCTGTGTAATGTATGTAGAAAGTGTTCTATCACTATAGTATGCTCAACACAACTTGTGACCACAATAAGCCTCAGTGCCATCAGCCTTACGGTTTATTGAAACCTTTGCCGGTTCTGGTCCGACCATGGGATTCCATCTCCATGAACTTCATTGAGCAACTGCCAATGTCAAATGGCTATACAGCTATCCTCGTCATTGTGAATCAATCTTCCAAGCAAGCTATTTTCATTTCTACTTTTGACACCATTACTTCTGAACAACTAACTGAGCTTTTTATTATTCATGTCTTCTCTAAGCATGGTGTTCCTAATCATGTTACTTCCAATTGTGGTTCCGAATTTGTTTTGGCGTTTTTCTGGGCTCTCGGCAAAGCACTTATGGAACTTCACTATACCTCTGGATATCATCCGGAAGCTGATGGGCAGACTGAGCGTGTCAATCAGACTCTTGAACAGTACATCAGGATCTACTGCTCTTACCAGCAAGATGACTGGTCACATTTACTTTCGCCGAGTTCGCCTACAACAATGCTCCCAATGCTTCCACTGGTATTACTGTTGAGCATACTGTAGTGATAGAACACTTTCTACATACATTACACAGCGCTTCATCACTCCTAGTTATCACTGTAGTGACTTACTTAGTGTATAAAGTACTTACAGACATCATTACTTAGTTTTACAACTCATAACTTAGCTATTTCTTTAGTGTTACTGTAGTTAGTTAGTTTTCATAGGTGCGCACAATTGTGGACACCCATTATCACGCCTCATGCGTTTCTAGTACATACAAGACCAAACAAACCTGTATTCCTACTACAGTTGAAAGATACAAATCAATACTCATACTATATTGACTTTGGTCATTGTTACTGTGTTTATTGGAGTACTGAGCAACTACAAGACTCTGTAGCACAACCTACTGAGCTTGTATTAAGGCATTGACATTCTCTGCACTGAGCTGGGTGGCATACTGTTTGGGTTAGCTGAAGGGCGCTCCAGTGTGTTTCAACTTCAACAAGTGCAATCTCCTTCAACAGGTTATGGGCCCCGTGCTCTAAACTGTGCATTGATCTGTTGTTGTCCTTGCTTGTTCTTTACTTGTGCGCTCCCATCAGTACTCCTACTGTTGTGGTCTTTCCAACTACCTTCTGTCTATCTTGACTACTGTTAACAATGTCTTCTACAACCATCTCAACCACTCCATCATTTAAAGTCCTCACCAAGGACAACTACAATGACTGGCAGGGGAACATGAAAGCATCTCTGATGTCTCATGGGTTATGGAGACTAGTCAGTGGAAAGGAGAAACAACCCCCAGCCTCTGATACAGAGAAACTGGAGAAATGGGAACTTAAAGCTGAAAAGGCTGCTGGCTTGATTTATCTTGCTGTCAGTCCTGCTCAACAAGTTCCAATAAAGGCTCATCAAGAGGATCCTATTCGTATGTGGTCTATCCTGGAGAAGCAACATGTGTCCAAGAAGCCTGGTGCTAGGTTTAATGCCTATAATGCACTCTTCACCATCACAAAGTCTGCTGATGAATCTCTAATGGATATGGCTGCTAGAGTTGAAGCTGCAATGGCTGATATTCAGAATCTGCGCCCTCCTGTTGCTCCTATTGCTGTCCAGTCAAATGGACTTCCTGCCCTCGGATTCACACTCGATTCCTTGGACTCTGAATTACAATCTATGGCTCTCATCCGTGCTCTACCAGAGGAATATAGGCACCTATCTTCAAACTTGCTTATGCAGGACAACCTCGATAAAGAGAAAATCCTTGCAGCATTCCTAGCAGAACAGCAGAATCAAGAGCACGCTGAGCAGCAGTCTGTGAATCGAGCTGCACAGGCTGCATCCTCTTCTAACAAGAAGAAGAATAACTACAGAGCTCCTGTTAGGACTGGGGAACCTAAGGACTACTGTAAGTGGTGTGGTAAAAAGGCGGTCCACTGGCAAGAGGACTGTCCCAGTAACCCCCACAACAAAAGGAAAGGCATTCAAGCCAATAAAGCTAAAGTGACAGAGGTAGATGATGATGGGGTGACTGAAAGTGCTGGTTCAGCTACTGCAAGTTCTCTTTCTAATGTACTTTCTGCTTCATCATTTGCTGATACTATGGAATGGAATACAGACACAGGCGCCACTTCTCATATGACTCCACACAGAAACTGGATTCGAAACTATACTCCACATAGAGTTCCAATTCGACTTGCAGATCATACTGTTGTGTATTCTGAAGGAATGGGCGAGGTGCTTTTCACTCCTATTGTTGATGGCAAAGAAGCCAGACAAGTGTTATTTTCTAGAGTCTTACATGTACCTTCACTTAATAACAATCTCCTCTCTGTTCTATATCTCACCAAGCACAAAGGTTTTACTGTACAAATCCTAAAAGATACAATGGAGTTTACTCTTAATGGTTCTGTTCTATTTACTGCTTCAGTCAATAACAAATCAGTTGGTTATCTTAATGGTCTTACTATAAGTAATGGTACAGAGGATGAAAGTGCGCATATTGGTGGTACAACTCTGCCTCTGAATCTTGAGCTTTGGCATAGACGCTTCTTTCACTATAATTATGGTGATGTTAGCAAGCTGTCTAAGAATAAGATGGTTGAGGGCTTTAAACTCGAGTCTAGTGCAAAACCAGACCCAGTATGTGAACCTTGTCTTGGGGGAAAGATGCATGCAAATCCTTTCCCCAGTACTGAGACCCGCGCTTCTGAAGTGTTGGAACTTGTCTTTACGGATGTACATGACACTGGTATCATCTCACATGAAGGCTACCGCTATTGGATTCCGTTCATCTGTGATAAAGCACGCTTTAGAGCAGTAATACCGATGAAGAAAAAGAGTGATGCATTTGCAGCATTCAAGCGGTTCAAGGCCTGGGCTGAGAAGGTTACTGGATTAAAAGTCAAGATACTCAGACACGATAAAGGTGGAGAGTATATATCCAAGGAGTTTGAAAAGTTCTTACAAGATGAAGGGATTGAAGTACAACGCACAGCTAGAAATCGACTTCAGCAAAATGGAGTCGCTGAAAGGCTAAATAGGACATTGGCGGAACTACTGACTGCAATGCTACTTGAATCGGGTTTACCAAAGACATTCTGGGTTGAATGCCTGGCTGCACTTGTTTATGTATTGAACCGTTGCCCAACATCAGCTGTTCCAGATGTGACTCCGTATGAAGTCTTCTACAAGAAGAAACCTAATGTGGAGAATCTTCGGGTATGGGGATGCATGGCCTATGTGCATGTTCAAAAGGACAAGAGACTACACCTTGGTTCTCATATGGAAAAGTGTGTGTTCATTGGGTACCCTGAGGGAGTTAAAGGATGGAAGTTCTGGAACCCTGTCACAAAGAAGGTTATCATCAGTGAACGTGCAGACTTCGATGAACGATACATGTACGCATCCAAATCACCAGATAAACCAACTCTTCGTAAAGACTATGTTCCTCCTGAGACTACTCCGAAACAACAACCTCTTAAAGTGACTTCGAGTGCCCCCAATGAATTATTCACTCTGCCAATCCCTATTGATGAATCTGAATCAGACTCTGAATCCAACTCCGAAGTTGATAAGGGCAATGCGCCTAACTCACCTCGACTCGAACATACACCTGGTCCGGATATTCCTGTGACTGAGGATGAATCTGATGAGCTGCCCATTGCTATACGACGTCCAGCACGTAACCGTAAGCCTCCTGGTGAATGGTGGAAAACAAAACCATCCTCTTCCCGTGTACCAGCTCCTAACGATGACTCTGATGATTCTAATGACGACTACTACGGGGATGCTGAACTTGCGTCAATCTCCACTCAACAAGTGGAACCTCGAAATTATAGAGAGGCAATGCACAGTTCAGAAGCATTCAAGTGGGAGGAGGCTATGAATGATGAAATCTCTGCTCATCTTGCTAATAACACTTGGGATATCGTTGACCTCCCACCAGGAGAGAAAGCAATTGGGTCTACTTGGGTATTCCGGATTAAACACAATGCTGATGGTTCTATTGAACGATTTAAAGCCCGCCTCTGTGCTCAGGGTTTCAGCCAAAGACCTGGTTTTGACTATTTGGAAACCTATGCTTCCACTCTGCGCTGGTCCTCATTACGTCTTGTCCTTGCTTTAGCAGCAATTGATGATATGGAGCTTCGCTCTGTTGACATCTCACATGCATTCATTAACTCGGACATCGACACCACCATCTATATGAAACAGCCAGAGGGATTCAAGCAAGGTGGACCAGAAAAAGTCTGCAGGCTAAACAAGTCCATTTATGGTTTGAAGCAGTCACCCCGTCTTTGGAGTGAGAAACTCTGTAGTGTTCTAGTCAAACTTGGCTTTAAACGCTTAGAGTCTGATCCTTGTGTCTACTTGTTTCAAAGAGGCAATATCAAGGTGATTGTACCAGTATGGGTTGATGATATCACTCTTGCTTGTAAAGATCCTGGTGTACTTGATAAGTTTGTCATTGAACTGTCAAAGGAGCTAAAACTCCGAGACTTGGGCGAAACCACCTTCTTGCTCGGCATAGGAATCAGGAGAGATCGTCCTAATCGAAAGTTGTATCTCAATGCGAAGCAATACATCATTCGGAAACTGGAAGAGTTCAGTATGCAAGACTCTAAACCAGTAAAGACTCCCTTGAACCCCACTGTCAGCCTCTCTAAAGAAGATAGTCCAAAGACACCAGAGGATAAAGAAGCAATGATTAACATCCCCTACATGTCAGCTGTTGGCTCCCTACTGTTCCTGGCAATGATTCTTCGTGCAGACACCGCATTTGCCACTGGTGTTCTAACTCGATTCAACTCTAATCCCGGACCTGCACACTGGCTTGCTGTAAAGCACTTGCTACGCTATTTGAAGGGAACTATCGACTACGAGTTGGAACTGGGACCAGATCCTACTGCACCAGACTTGATCACAGCTATTAGTGATGCAGACTTGGGTGGTAACAAGGATAATGGGAAGTCAACAACTGGGTACATCATTAAGATTGGATCAGGTGCTGTCAGCTGGAGTAGTAAACTACAACCTGTGGTTACTCTATCCTCTACAGAAGCCGAATTTGTGGCATCTAATGCAGTGGGCAAAGAAGTGTTGGCAATTCGTTCTCTCCTCACCGAGCTTGGTT